AAGTGCTAGGTTAAAACAGTGATTAGTATGTATTTGTACGTATATATTTGACATTGCATGGCATATGAATTGGTTCATCCCTAGAAACTGACACTGTATCTGTAATAGAAGACTTTATGTTGCGGTTCAACTTGGGAAGGTGTTTCTTCCCAAGGATTAAAAGCAAAAAACATCACTTAACAAGTTAGCATGTTAATTTTCAATTAACCATAACAACCGAGTTTTTCCTCCTATATTGATCCAGAAGAAATAATCCCACATGTTGCATATATATATATATATATATATATATATATATATATATATATATATATATATATATATATATATATATATATATATATATGGGTTATTTTTATCTCATTTTACATGAGATAAACATCTCTCCTACACACACAAAAAGGAGTTGGGTCCCACCACTTTTTTTTCTCTCTCATCTTACATGTGGGTCCCACTTATACTTTTATGTCTACAACATGAGGTAATTCTTTTCCTACAACATAAGAAAAATATATCCATATATATATATATATATATATATATATATATATATATATAGGGAAAACATTTTCTCATGTTGCATAAAAATTCAACTCTCATGTTGTGACCCTTTGATTTGCGTGAAATTTTTTTCTTTTCTTTTTCTCTTTTTAATAAATGTGGGGCCCACCATTAGTTGAGCCACAACATGAGAATTCAATTATCATGCAACATGAGAAAATCAAATCCCATATATATATATATATATATATATATATATATATATATATATATATATATATATATATATATATATATATATAAAAATATTTCTGCAGCTACTTTAAATAAGCTTATCTACAGCTATCCATTTACATCTATGTTCTCCCGGGCGAACATAGTTATAACATTAAAGTTATTTTTTTTCTCTCTCTGCGTCAGCAGACGGGTTCTGAAAAGTAAATGAGGAGAGATAAAAAAAGTAACTTTTAATGTTATAATTATGTTCTCCCGAGAGAACATAGTTATAAATGGATAGCTGTAGATAAGCTTATATAAAGTGGTTGCAGAAATACTTTTTCCATATAATTTAGATAAGCTTATCTACAGCTATCCATTTATAACTATGTTCTCTCGGGAGAACATAGTTATAACGTTAAAGTTGCTTTTTTTTCTCTCTCTCTCTCCATTCAATTTTTCCTAACCAATCCACAAGGTTGAATATTCGATATGAGAAGATTGTATTTAAAATGTGTAAAAAGTAGCAAAGGTATATTATGTTGGGCCGTGCACGGGGAGAGACCGTCAACCATGGGCCAAGTGAGCAACAACATTAAGTGGGCTCGGAACACCACAATCAAACCCAAAACCTTAAGGCATTAGGTGCATAGGTCCTTCCACTTTGGATTCCTCAACATCTCCCCTTCAATTGTGAATCCAAGGCCCACATTCTTTATCATACATAACATTTTATTCATTCAACAACTCATCCATTTAGTTTTTCCTAACCAATCCACAAGGTTGAATATTGGATATGAGAATATTGTATTTAAAATGTGTAAAAAGTAGCAAAGGTATATTATGTTGGGCCGTGCACGGGGAGCTCATGGTTGGGAGAGATCGTCAACCATAGGCCAAGTGAGCAACAACATTAAGTGGGCTCGGAACACCACAATCAAACCCAAAACCTTAAGGCATTAGGTGCATGAGTCCTTCCACTTATATGGTGCTCATTTAGTCCATTCTTACCCAACGTGGGACATTTTTCACTCAATCATTCACACTTGGATTCCTCACCATATTATTCCAGATGTCAAGTGCAAACAGTATTATGGGATGAAAATAATGGGAGAAAAGTAGTTTCTTGAAATAGCAGAACCTTTTTTCTAATTCTAATATTTTAATTTGTACTCATTTCTCAGATGAATATTTATGAGGGCACATATAATCATAAATAAAGCAATGTGATCATAGACTCGTAGTGGCACAATGACCAATCATTTATCTTATTCTGTGTTTTCCCCAGTCTTCAAATTATTATTTGCTGTAAGATAATGTTTGTACATTATTTAATGCTCAATGTTTTCAATTTTATGATACTTGTCTAGTGACAGTAGAATACTAGAATGTAGTTATTTTCCTATGATTAATGCTGAGACATTGTGACTCGTGTTCCTTGCCCACCTGCTTCTTTTTTGTGTTATTAATTGATCTCTCTTGTGTAATTTAGGGAGAGGTAAAGAGAGAAAAAAAATACTAGAATAGATAATAATAATAAAATCATTTGAGATTGTCTCATATAATGTGATCCATTCAATAAATTTCCATTGGAATATGAGGGGGGATATATTAATCTCACTTCCCCACGGCAAGAAATTAATTAGTGGACTAAGGTGGAATACCCTCTAGGAAAATTTCATTTTGGTATATCCCTAGAGAAATCTTATTTGCGATAATTCATAACTTATCACCCTTCTAGTTGACAAAGGTGAATCCAGATAATAAAATAAGAATGTGAATCTCCTACAGTTGTGAAAATAACTGAAGAGAGTGCAGTTTCATGTCTGACTAGTCAAAATTACTTAACCATGTTTTTTTATTAATATATTACTAGACTTGTAATGAATTTTAATCCCTGCAGTTTAAAAACAAACTCGAGTGTTGATTCTAAAAACAACTATCACATCACAATATCACATAGCCCAATTCAATGAGCTATTGGCCAAGTTTGGTCTTTTGCGTGCATTGACTAATGGGCCATGGCCCTCCTTAGGCTTATGCTAGTAAGATTCGTTTTGAATCGTTGAGATGAGAGTATTGCTAGCATAGTTTTGCGAGGATTTTTTTGGGATCAAACCCCATACTTTTATGTTTTGTGCGGCATGGGGCAAGTCGTTGAAACTATTAATCCTTGAATATATTTTAATTTCTCCCTCGCTAAATGCATTTAAAAAAAATATATATCAATTTTTGAAGCCAAAAACACCTAAAATGGAGCTTATCCTTAATGAAGGCATGCGTCAGATCAGCATTAAATAAATAATATTTCTAGTAAGATGGATCTTTTTAACACAGACTTCTAATAAATCTTACGACTCTAATTTGTGGAAAATAAAATGTTATGCAAAATTTGATCCAATATGTTAGAGGGGCTTGCTTGGAAAATTAGTGATGGAAAGAAAGTTAATTTCCAGTTGGATAATTAGCTTCTTGTGATCCAAATCTGCTTGGTGTAGCAAAACAACCCCCTCATCCCCTCCTTCTTGAAGATTAAGTGGTTGACTATCTTCATAAGTCTACAAGGAGCTAGAATCTGAATATCCTCCATAGCTTTTTTTATAAGGATGTGACAAATATTATCACATCCCCATGTAGAAATTGGTAGAGATAATTCTTTGATCTAGGTTCAACCTCCTCAAGATTGGATGAAACTTAACATTGATGGGGCTGTTTCGCAACTTTAATTGAGCTTTGGTGGTTGGCTTCCATCTGCTTCCCTCTTCAAGCAAAATTATAGGCAATTCTCTCCGGCTTGGAGTTTGCTTGGTATCTTGGCTTCAAAAAAGTTATAATTGAGAATGACTCTTCTTAAGCTATCAACTTGCTAGCTACTATTTGTAATGACACTCGGAAATTGCCATTGGTTAGTTAAGAATTGGAGGATTGAACTTACATTCTCTAAGAGAGAAAAAATAAATAAATGTGTTGATTGACTTGTTGAAGAAGTTTTAGCCGATCCTTGAGATACTTTCTATTTATGTTCTGCTCGTGAAAAAATTAAGAAGTTAATTTGGTTTGCTATAGGGGAAAATCTATAATGCTACCAATGCACTGAGTTCAGTGCATCCCTAGTTCACTTTTACTAAGATACGTAGGTGGATCTTGGGGTCCTAGAAATTTGTGCAGAATCCACCTACGTATTTTAGTAAATGAACTAGGGGTGCACTGAACTTCAATGCATCGATTGCACTCAAATTTTGTTCCTGGTATAGGAGTTCATTCTATTAGGAATCTTGTAATTGCTCCTAACTATTTTATTGTACTGTTTCTCTTTTTTCTTGTACCAAAAAAAAAAAAATCCATGTATAGTTCCCCTACCTCACAAGAAAACTTAGGCTCATGTATTAACTTGTTTAAGGACAAGGGTAAATGGACTTGAGTCATCTATTAACTTAGTGTTAATTAAATTATAATCTAGCTTATATTTAAAAATCTAAAGATCTGACCTAGGTTTAGACCTATTAACCTATAAGGCCTTCAGCCCTTTAATAGTTATTCAGGATTTGAAAAAGTTGACATATGATGTTTTTCTAAAGAAAATTGTGTGTTTTTAGAAGACATAAATTAAGATTCTTTTGAGAGAGAGATAGACATAAAAAATAGGATCCATCATGTCTTTAATTTTTGTTTTCGTGTCTTTATTTTTTTTAGTAGGACCTACATATTTTTATATCTATCTCTCTCTTAAACGAATTAAGTTTGTGTATTTTAAAAGAAGAGATATTTTTTCCCGTTTTTCTAAACGGACTTTTTTTAAGAACTATATACTACACCAAGGTTAGCATAACCTGATATACACAAGCCGTATACTCCTAATAGATTCGAGAAATTCCGTGATGTAAGAATACTCACATTAGAAGACGTATAAATTAACAATGCCTTTGATGAGACTGCACATATTTAAATGGTTTTCGACTTTTCGGCCAACGTTCTTTGTTGAATGTAAGTAACACCAGGATCAACCAAGAAAACAGAAAGCAAAAATATTAGACGTTGGACAGAAAATTTCTTCACTAGTGCTTTCCAAAATAATGTAAATTCAAAGATTTTTATTTTTTATTTTTTATTTTTTTATTTGTTGCATAAGCTCTTAGCCTGCTTACGGTACCAGGATACATTTGTTTTGATCATAATGCTTAGGTAAATCAACCTTGCCCAGCAAATTATCTTTATTTCATGAAATCATTTTGAATAACACAACCCAAAGAATTTGACCTGCATATCAATAAAATAATGCTGCTACAATTTATCCAATCATGCATACATAATTTCATCTTTTTTTTTTTAATCTCATTTATTTCTCTAAAATAGATATTTCAATCCGTAACACAATGTCTTTAATAAGCACTAAGCAGCATAAGGCCAGACATATCCATGAGTACAGACTTGGCTTAAGCATCCATCAAATTCCTTCTGTCATGATTCTCAGGAATCAAATAACTTTGTAATCAATACCAGAATTTTCACGTCATATGGATATTGTTGACAATGATTGCTCAGGAACCCATTTATTTTTGCTCACATCTGTTCATCTCATTATATCTCTTGGTGGGGCCAGTTGGTCTCATGAAGGCAAGTTCATTGCAATTATAGGATGTCAAAAGCTGACTCTATTGTGTGTCTCTGGCCTTCCTTATCCTTTGCATTGATGTACCGAAAGAACAATCAAATGGCTACGTTTCAAGCATTGTCAACATGATTGAGATTTGTATCTTCCAGAATCCCCCTCTTTCTTCCTTTCCACCTTCCATATTATTGAGGCTTGGTAATCAGTATGCGGGTTTTGCCACCTATGGAAAATATTATTACACACAGGATTAGTGGAAAATACAAAACATATGGGTAGACATTATTTTTGACCAATCATTTTGGTTTTCAAGGAGCAGAATCACATTATTGAGAAACAACAACTCATGCCAATTCTAATTCTAATTAATGGGGTAGTTGTGAAGTAGTTGTCAGATGTCATGCATGTTTCAATGTATGCAGTGGCGGACCCAAAAATTTTATTTATGTCTGCACATTTAAGTTATGGGGTTTGGGGGTTGCCCCCAAAAAAAAAAATTTAAAGAAAATTTTATATGTATTTAAAAACAAAAGAATATAAATAAGTGGTCCTTTTGAAATTTTTGGGTACTCAACAAATATTACGGGGTCCAATTTAAACCCTTAGGAAAAAAAAATCGACTCGGGTTTCTTTTGAAATTCAAAATAGACCTATGTTAGTCATTTTAAGAGACTGACATAGATCTTCTTTGAATTTCAGAGGATCATAATTTCGACCAACTGGTCCTATTTTGTAATTCAGAGGGATCACAAGTCGACTTTTTCTTTTCTAAGGGATTAAATTGGGCCCCGTAATTTTTGTTGAGGATCCAAAAGATACTTTACTCTTCTTCTTTTTCCAAAATTTGTGTCTGCACTTGCACACACAGTGGCACAAGTGCAGGTCCACCTCTGAATGTGCATACATAGTTGTCCATATGTGAGTAAAGGGGGGGAGAGAGAGATTACCAAGGATTTTTTGAGCTTCAAAGTAGGAGTAGAGATAACATTTTAGAGAGTGAGAACAAATGGAGGGGCATCCCTTCTTGGCCCAGCAACAGAACGATAAACATAAACTTTTTCAGCTTGACTATCATCACTTCCTTCTTCCTTTATAACTTCAACATTCAACCTAGGCATTTCCTTTGCCAACAATCTACAACCATTCATTGTAACATTGCAATCTGACATCCACAGTGACCTCATTGATTCATACTTCTCCAAACCTGACAGAAGTGCTGCATTGCCAAATGGGCAGTCCCTTATCTCAAGTTTTCTCAGCTTTGGACAACCTTCCAGCACACACTGCATGCCCCAATCACTGCTTCCAGCAAAAGCCACTGAAAGAGTTTCCAAGTTTTTGGCATATTTTCCTATGTACTCAAATGTTAGGTCAGTCAGTAAACCTGACATTGCAAGCCTCTGGAGTTTAGTGCAAGTCTTAACAACTGCTCCAAAAGCCTCATCCATAGGTTCATGTGTCAGGTAATCTGGCTGACCAGGGCTCATAATGCAGAGTCGGAAATGAGTGAAGTCAGGGCAGTTTTGCACAACAGTAGCAACAGCAGCATTTGTCATCTGCCGGCAAAAGTAGAGGACATAGTGAAGTCTCCGGCATCCTTGAGACACAGCAACAATACCTGATTCAGTAACCCCATGGACAATGCCCTCATCAAAGGGATCTGCAGGAAAAACACGCAGTTCCTCAAGCAATGGACAGTATGATCCAACAGCTTCAAGCCCCTTGTCTTCAACTGTGTCCACAACCTATATCAGTTATCTAATCAGTAAGGTAGATGTCCCAATACATTTTCATTAACAGACATTGGAAACTAAATAAAAATCAACCAAAAACAGGATAAAATATCTGACAATTATCTATTTGGAAGTTGGAACTAACAATGACAATTAAAATCAATAACTCAATTATAAATGGTTCCAGAAAAAACTATCATAAATTTAGGGAGAGAAAGTGAAGATTCTTTATCAGTCTAGATTTTGCTCATGGATGGTAACAAACTACGAGGGATAGAGACAAGTATCAATTCTAGCTAATGCATGAATTAAAACTCAAGAAAAGCATGACACGTGAAATTATGTTTGCTGAAACTTCAATATCAATGAAACCATATAATGAAGAACACACACAAAAAAAAAGTCATACCCAGAGGCGCCGAAGATTAGGACAGTGAACAATAAGCTTAGCAAGATCATCACTGTTAAGAGAAGCATCACCAAAATTCAAGAAAGTCAGATTTGTGCAAGCAGGGTACAGAACTGGGAGAGATTGTTCTTCAGCTTCCCATAAACCAGAAAGAGCATGAAGATTTTTACAATTGGTCAATGCACTTTCAAGCTCTGAGTACTGCTGTGTTGTCAACTCTTGGGAAAATGAGCCACTACCAAGCTCACCTAACTGAGGAGCCCGAACAAGTAGCCTTTGTAACTGTTCCAGTGGTACACTTTTATTAACCTTCAAAGTCTTTAATGATTTGCACCTACTGACAAGTTTCTCAAGTGCTTCAAAATTTACATCATTGTGTAGGTTGGCAAAGTTCAATACTTCCAATGATGTGAAGCTTTCTGGGAAGTAACTTAACCAATTACCATTTTTATCATCAATACCATTCTCTTGTATGTCAAGCTCAGTTAAATTCCTGCAACCAAGTAGAATGCAGAATATTTATTTATTGGTCAAATGAATGAGTAAGCAAAGACTGCCATCATAATGGAGATAACACCTATTACTCAATAAGATGCTATCGTGAGTTGAGATTTTGAGATTCATAAGAAAGATTAGAAATCTTGAAAAAAAGTATAGTAATAATTAATGTAATCAACAATTTTAGCATTGCTTATGCTTTCCATTATAAATATGTTCAACTTACACAAGGTCCCTTGCCAAAGCATAAATTTATGGTTAAACATCTGAAAGAAGAATTTGAAATCTTCCCTATTACATCGCTATATAAGTATGTAACTGAGAGGAGATTCAAGTTCTACAGAATGTTTATAAATGCCCTGTATTTCAGTGAATTCCAACAAAACCAATCTATGAATTAAAGGGAAATTGTCATTCTCACATATGCATTATAGAAATACTCATAGTGAAAATAGTCATATCAACTTTTTTCCAGCAAAAGAATAGGTAGCATCTCATGCATACAACCAATCTTAGCCTATGCGTATCCTCATTTTGGGAAGCACATGTAAGAAGACCATCCTTTAGATAAACAAAAGATCGATTCCCTGAGTCTTAGCTTCTTCTTTTTCTTTTTCTTTTTTGGCATAAATAAGGAATATTACCATGTTCCCACTCAACTGATGCTCAAATGTTAATTTCATCATACAGAAAAGAAGTGGCCCTCATAGAAAAACAGCTCTGTAGTGGGATTCTGTTTCCACTGCCAACATAATTCACTAACATCTCACCAATAGGACAATGTATCAACTATCAGAACGCGGCATGCGAAAATGGCAAACAGGCAACGCACTCAAGAAAAAGAATCTAAGAAAACAATGAATCAATTTAGGGCAGATAAAACTTGAAGGTCAAACAAAACTGGGAGTAAATAGCTATAATAGCATGAACTATTATATGAATTGGTTAGAACAGGCAATATAAAGAAGAGATTGTTGAAAAGTAAAACCATCAATTAACTGTATTACATCATCCAAAAGTTAAAAGCAACGATTTCATATCAAAACAGTAACATCAACAGATTGATAGAAGCTGAAAAGAAAAGCACACCCATCAGCAGAAAACATACACTCTTTCCACCTCTCAAAGCAATTAAACCTTCTATATTAGAAACGAAAGATCAACAAAAGACACAACCAGGAACCAAAATTTGAAAAGTAAGAACCTAAAAGGAATCACATATCACAATTATTAGTATTTTCTGGACTGGATATAAAGTATAAAGAAAATTAATTATTACTTGCAATTAGTGGCAATTGCAGCCAGCCCATCAGTGCTGAATCCATCACAACTCAAAAGGGAAAGAGCTTTGAAATTGGGAAAAGAAAGGGCCAGAAAATCCAAGCTCTCATCAGTAACAGTCATCCTCTTGAGCCTCAACTCTTCAAGCAAAGGGTACTTTTCAGCAAAAACCACAAGCCATGAATGAATATCAGCACCCCAATTGGCAGGAACCAAGTTAAAATCTGAGAAACGTGGCTTCCCTTTCAGTGTAACACTGCGTATGTTTGGAAACCTGCGTGTCAAGATCTCAGGAGAGACAGAGTAACAGTTCCCTATGAACACATTCCTCCTTGACCATCTCTCAGCGTTGTACCACTCTTTGCAAACCAATGAAACTGAGCTTCTATCCTTGCGTGATTTCAGCATGCCAAGAACTCGTTCCAACACCTCATCTGGAAAAGCCGAAGCTCGGTTCAAGTTGTTTGATTCTGGAGATTCCTTCTTTCTCTTACACTCCATTTCCAACCCAGAAGCTCCCAAAAAAAGAAAATTATAAAAATAAAAACTTTAAAGCATCCTTGTGAATCAACAATGAGATTTGAAAGCAACCAACTTGGTAAATTATGGTAAAGACCAATAAAAAAGAAGTTTCAAGCTAAGTGAAACAGAGGGTGCAGAAAAAGACAGGTAAAAGGAAAAGGGGTTGCAGAAAAAAGAAAATTTTCAATAACGGAAAATTCTGTGAACCGCACAGAAAGAAAAAAAAAAAAAACTTGTCAAGTAGTGGAAATAAAGCAATGTACTACTAAGAGTACTCTTCAACACTGAAAACTTGCTGCTATGTATCCTTGACTCTTTGACTACATTTCTTCCTTGTTTTCTCTTTCAAAACAAAAGAAACAGAGAACCTAAGTGGTTTCAGACAAAAACAACTCAGCAAAAAGAAGGGAGAAAAAAAAAAAAACACAATTTGGAGACCCAAAAAAAGAACTTGGAATCTGAGATCCGTTAAATAGGAAGAGGTTGAAGAAGATCCAGTAGATATATATTTATATGGATAACAGAGGAAGAAGAGTGATGACAGAGAAAATAAAAGATTGGGGGTCACTGAAAGTTGGGATCTTTTCATGAACCAAAGCTCTCAAATCACTTTTACCTGATGATGAGACCAAAGGAAAAACCATAGGCACTGGTCCCCCATGGCGTATTATAGCAAAAGCAGAGCAAGAAAGAAATTTTTTATAAAAAAAAAATTATTATCAGATTCATCAAAAGAATTATTATCATATTACGTAGATTTGTGTGCTTTTTTCATATATATTTTTATCTGGGGATAACTTCATACTTAAGTTGTAACTTGTAAGTAATTGATAATTCTAGTATTAATATTTTATGTTAGTCTTTTTTTAATCATATTTTAAAATTTAATTAGAATTAAAGAGTGTATACATCTATAAAAGCTAGTATCCTCTCTATAATTGCAAATATGTATAAAGAATGAAGAAATAAAAATAAAGCTGTAAAGGCAAAAGTCTCATTTTTTGTATTATGTACTGTGATTTGTGAACAGCTCTGAAATTGGGACGGTAGCCCACCAAACCTATTATATATAGTCTTATTCAGGGCTCAGGCTATTCTATGTCTATGATTTGGCCACGTATCCTAAATGAGGCTAAGTATAAGCTTCAGAATAGAATTTTTTTTAACGTTATTTTTTTATTTTATTTTTTTGAAACCAAGGAAACAATTTTAACGTGAATTTTTATAATATAAGAGAACGTGGGAAGAGAAATAAATGTATAAGTTCTAAACAATTTTTATTTGATAGGGACTTTATTATGTACAGTCTTAGTTGTTATTTATATTTACTTTTTAAATAATAAGATTATATGAAAATTCACATAAAATTTCATTTTATTACATAAACATATCGTTTGACCTTAAAGATAGATAACAAATTTAGAATGCAAGTGAAAAAAAAAAATTTAAGAAGAAAAAAAAGTTGATATGGGCTATCCTCCCAATCAGGTTATATTAGGTTTATATATATATATATATATATATATAACTGAGCTAATAGCCCGTCATGCAGGCCTCCCGCTGGGGCCCGTTATGCCACAGACCGACCATATAACCCTGTTCAAAAACAAAAAGTGGAACGCATAAATTCCAAACTACCCGTTATCCAATAAATACCTGAAGAGATATTGATGCAGTAAATAGTATATAGTACACGAGGGAGCTCGAGTTGATTCATTTATAAGAGGCAAGTATCTAAGGTTAGTGAAAATTAATAAAATAAATTAACGCATCAGCTATCCGCTCTCAGATTGGACAATAAGGGTCGGCAAGAGGATTGTAACATGACATAAGCAAGGAGGTCAACCTCCAAGTGCGGAGCGGATGACTGCTAAAAGCATCTAAGTAGTAAGCCCTTCCGCCCACGCCCAAAACGGGAATGGGCTTGGGTTATCTAGAACAAAAGGAAATGTTGTCAACTCCATTTGTTTTGTTTTAATGAATGAATATTCTATTTTTCTTCAACCTTGAATTCATTCACTTTTTGGGTGTGAAGCAGTGTCAAACCAAACTACCCAATAGACAAAATTATAAAGGAAAAAATACAACTTTAAGATTACAACTAAGAATTCCCCAGAATATATGATTATAATACGATGATTGATAAAATTTTATAACTATGTATTAGGAGGTAATACATTTCAGCACACAGTGTGCTACTCGTAGTAAATAGTATAGTTTGTAAAAAAAATTATAAATATAATCTTTCCTTATATATATGGGTAAAATATTTTTCCTGCAACTTGAGATAAGTTTATCTCCGGCCACCCAAAACTACGTCATTTTGTTTATTTATTTTCTTATATTAATTGATTTACCTTTGAATGGTTATGATTCTCTTTTTCTCTCTCTTCCTTTATCTTCATTGATCCATCTTTGTATGGTTATGATTTAGTAGTTGGCGATAAAATTATCTCAAACAGTTTGAGAAACGATAAGCCCTATATATATATATATATATATATATATATATATATATATCATTTGACCTTAGATATAGGTGGATTCACATTACTAAAAAATTAGAGCCCTTAGATATAAGTGGGATCAACAGATAAAATAGAAAGTGTAACTTACACTGATGTAAAATGATCATGACTATATATATATAGGGAAAAGTGTTTGTCATTTTAAATGACAGAAAGTTATGTCATTTTAAGAGAGATACAGACACAGAAAATTTGAATTTTAAATTAAAAAAAACCACCCACTTTCTCTCTCTCTCTCATGATTTCCGTTTTTCTGTGTCTCTCTCTTAAAATGACATAACTTGTGTCATTTAAAATGACAAACACCAAACTCATATATATATATATATATATATATATATATATATATATATATATATATAAAACGTTTTAACGGTACGAATGGGAGAGCTTAGAGAGGTGGCATCTTAACCATTTTATTTATTTATTTTCCTCCATTTGTTTTCAATAATTTGGTGGAATGACGGTAAAAGCTAATATCTTTAAAGTTAAACTAAATTGATCAAATTTAAAACTAGTTACATTTTAATTTAAACATTATTTAATTAGACAATGACTTTATTATAAAAAATGAAATAAATTAAATAAACTATATATGACTTGAATGTCTTTTTAATTTAATTTTTAAAATATTAATGAAAATATGCTGCATGTCAAAGATTTTTCTTTCGCTGGATGGTAAAGTGGTTGTTTTCCCACAAACTCAAATACCAACTAAAAGTTATCATTATTAGAAAATCATGTGTCTAATTTTTATGAAAAACAGCGAATTTCTGAACTAAGATTAACTATTTTAGTGAACAAAATAATCATACAAATATGCAGGGACATGCATGACCTAAACTTATTCACTAAATAAGTTATGTTAATACTTTTTTTAAAAAGTATATTTAATTAAAAAAATTCATATATAAGTCATCCAAGTCATTTTTATTTTTTTTTGGTAATCAGTCATCCAAGTCTTTAAAACTTGATCGGTCAATCTATTTAAAGAAATATAAAAATATATTCTCATAATTATATTATATTAAATATTTATTTTATGATCTCAAAATCATATTTTTAAGCTATATCGAATTTTTAAAAAATCAGGTCAAGTCTTTAAAAAATAAAATTTAAACCCTTTATACCCGTTTAAAATAAAACTTGATCTTGTTATAAAAAAAAATTGATCTCCATTTTTACCCCTTCTTGAAAGCCAAGTAAATTCATCCTTTTTGCTACCGCTTGCCTTTTAATATTTTATTATTATTTTCTCTATTTTATAAATTATAAATAACTCTATGGATTTTATTAATCTCATGTTATTGAGACAAATCTTTAGGCTCCATCACCTGAAAAATAAAAATAAAAAAATAAAAAAAGATGGCACAATTATCAAATATAAGAGAGAAATTTATTACAGGTAACGTGAGAGTAATTTTTCTCTAACTCTATACAGAAAGAAGTAATAATCGTGTAATTAGTACAGCTAGTAGGCTCGAATATCTATGATTAAAGATAATAATATAACTATAAGGGAACGTTTGGTAAGAGAAATTTTTTTTAGTCAAAAATCTCAAATTTCAAAAATATAATTTTTACTTTCAGTTTATGATAATATCCGTAAATTTAAAATCTCGAAAAATTTAATTTTTCGGGATTCTTGAAGAATCTCACGTACTAAACACCCCCTAAGTATTATTTTATGAAATTTTTATATTAATTTGCAGATAGAATAATTTTACTACTGACATCTGAGACAGCTAGTAGTAGTACTTTCTCCTAGTTTGGCTGGAGACACGTGGTGCTCATCTGAATTTCATTTTTGTTATTTTAGTTATTATAATTTTCCGGTCTTCCTAACTCACCAAATGTTACCATATTCGTAACACATCATAAGGTGCAATAATATAAAATAAGCATAATAATCAAATAAAAAACAACAACATATAAGTCTGCCACCTTGAGAGAATATAATTGAATTTTAAACAAAAGTAGAAAGCTTATACGAGCTATAAAATAAACATTTCTATAGTGTGGATTTTGCTCGACTTCACATGGCTTTTGGATATATGTGCCATGTTCTAAGTCCAATGTTTTCAAAAGTCACACTAAAGTTAATGATATTTGTTTTCTTTTACATAATTACATGCACGGCTGGACAAGATTGATATAGATAAAATATGAAAGGGAATCAGTGTGGTTTCTAAAATGAATAAAAAAAGAAATTGAATGTATAAAAGTTAATAAATTTTGTTGTTTAATGTTTGTTAGAGATAAATCTATTTTATATATATATATAAAAATATGTAAAGTCTATGTGAGTTCATATGAGAAGAGAGAAAAAAAGAAGAGAAAATATAGATCTCACATATTTTTATATATGTAAAAAATAAATTTATCTCCTACAATATAAGAAATAATAAATTCAATATAATTATACCATAATTTCAGTTTCAAGAAGAAAAAAAGAAAAATCATACCAAAATTCTCTAAACTTCTTTTTCTTAATTTATGATTTATGTTTTTTTTTTAGAAATTTTGTGAGAGCGACGGGTGAGGAGATGGATGGTGGTGTCATAAATGAAATGGTGTTGAATATGACAAAAAAGAGAAAAAAAAAACTGTTGAATAGTCTCTAGTTCATACCGTAACTTGTATAGAAGAAGAATAAAAATTAGAACTTGGCTAGTTGAAGTGCTAAAGTTTCACGTCACCTATTGAAATAAAAAAATAGCGCACTGAAAGTTGAATGTTCCATTAAATAAAAAAAAGGTACTTTGGCATATGCAAATGTGAATTCATGTGGGGGTGGTGGGGACTTCCCCTCTCAATTGGATCCCCATTGAATTGGGTAGGGTTAGGTTAAAGAAAGCACATGCAACCAACCTTCTCTACAATTCTATTTCTTTCCCTATAAGATGGAAAGATTCATCATAATTCATATATCTATTTCTTTAGGGTAAATTTTCAGTGGTGTCAGCGATCTTGCTGCTAAAATCATTAGCACTTGCTCACTTAACCAAATGTAACATTGTAATTTTGCGAGTTGGAGCTC